TGGCCCCAGTCAAACCTGTAGGACCCAGCAAAGGGAGAGGCAGCTGTGCATCCTCTCATGTAGCTTCATGAAAAGGGATTTGCTTTCAGAATGTCTTTCAAAGGAGAAGAACATTCATTGGAACCTCTTGAGCAGAGATGGGGCTTTTAGCAAGGAGGTGGCCGTTTGGTGCAGGTCTGGACATCTTGCACCTGCACCAATCCAAAACCAGCTCAGCTAAAGTCAGAACACCTAGAAAGACAGGAGCCCAGTCAGTCCCTGCTCAGTTGCCTGTGGTCCTTGCTGCAGACCACCTTGCCTCTGGAGATGCCAGCCCCAGTTCCCAGGGAAACGTCAGGAAATCTGTTGTCAAGACCACAGTCACTAAACCCCAAAACTCAACACTGCCCAGCAGGTACCAGCCGTGAAAGCCTACCCCAGTTTTTCATAGTATATTGGTCTGCAGCCTCCCTGGCTTCCCAAACTTCCATGATTTTCCAAGGGAAGGGAGAATTATGGAAGGGATCTCCTCTCTTGAGACTTTTTCAGATTGGGAAGTAGGAGCAGCCAAGGAGGCTGCAGAGGGAGGGGGAAATGGGTCCCTGAAAAAGCAGCAGCAGACCCTCCAGAAATAAAGCCTATATTTTAAAACCACTGAGAGAAATTTGAAATAAATTCTCAAGCTTCCTAAACCTTTCCTGAGACATCACAAGGCTGGTTTTGGCTGCACGCTATTTTGAATGGTTCCCACCGATTTCCAACAAGACCCTGGTAGACTGCTGCAGGAGTCACGTGTCATCTGTTGACACGTCCCTGATGATGATTAATGACCAACAAGCAGGAAAAAGACATCAGGGATGAACCCTGGGCTGCAACTGTAAGGACTGGTAGCCCAGTGTTAAGCTGTGAAGCACCGAAGGCGACTCCCTGGTGCTGTTTCTCCCGCGTTTGCCTCCGTTCTGCCTTCCCGCTTAGAGGAGCCTCAGAGCCGTAAAGCACAAGCCGAGGGCTGCTCTCGCTAAGAATCACACAAGGCGAGGAGGGATTGAGGACCTGGAGCACCAGGAACAAACACTGCAGCACGGGGGGCGAGGGGCCCACAGGAAGGGCTTCTTCAGCCACTCTCAGCACGATTTATTTGGCAGCGAGTCACCCAGAACCAGAGGTCTGAATGCAGCACAGCCATAGGAGACGTGGCTTCCCCCGAGGTTTGCTGCGCACAGAAGCCCTTCTATCTGGGCTCGCCTTCTTGTCGCTGCCAGAGGAGCTCAAAGCCCCAGCAGCTTTTGCAGGACCAGCACATTAACCATCGCTGTGAAGGGATCATTAGGGATTGGGGAGGCAAGCCCATTTCGGGCGCCCTCCCCAGACTAAGAATTCGGGCCGTGTGCGTGAAAGAGATGCCAGTTCCTGCCTCCCTGCTGGGCCAGACCTGCCTTGCAAGTCCTCAGGCGTTTGCTCTTCTCCCCAAGGAGGCTTCTGCTTTTCTGTAGCTCTCAGGGCTTGAGGATTTCTTTGGAACTTCTCTTGGCAATGTGTCTGAGCACACGTGGTTGTTGGAGGGGGCTGTTGCTGGCGGCATTATTTTCTGCTACCATTTCCCCATCAGTGCGCAGCCTCCGTGGCGGCTCGCCATTTCCAATCTGAAGAAGTCCTTGGACAGCTAGGACAGACTCAAGTTCAGTTGGGTTTTTTGTTTGTTTTTTTAATGTCCTTTTTCCATCAGAGGTTTTTCAGTCGGTTCCAGAAAAATGGACAAAATAAAGCAGGACAAAAATCAACAGCAAAAGCCAAGTACCACCTCAGCATTGTCTGTTCTGAAATAGGATGCAGTCGTGAGAAGCAGGTCTCCTTCCAGAAGACTTGAGCCTTGATGCCTTCATGGACACATCCCTGTCATTTTTGGGGCAACAGTACAGAAATGGCTTTCCTCTACCTTCTTCCAGGTCTTTCTGACTCCCGGTTTAGCCCACAGTGCTGCTGTTCCCTAAAATTCCCCCATCCAAGTACTAACCAGGTCTGGCACTGCTTAGTTTCCAAGCTGTCGCCCTCTGAGCAATTTAGTAGCTAATTAACATATATATACACACACACACATACATACATACATACATACACACACACACACACACACACACACACACACACACATTAGAGCTGGGCAAAGATCTGACTTCAAACGCCTTAAAGCAGCTGTGTCTTTCCCCGGGCTTCTGTGGGCGCTTTAAGTGTTCCCAACAGAAGTTATGTGGACGGCCAAAGGCATTCCCAAATCACATTTTGCCTTCAATCCTGTATATAAATCTCAATATATTTAAAGATACCCAGTAAAGCAGTCTAACTGTGCTTCCTTTTAAGGTCCTTATCCATAGCAAACTTCAGGGTTCAAGCTATGCCCATCTTTTTCTCCCCTGCACTTCTTGTGGTAGACATTGATTTTCTTAGAAAATCTGGAAAAACTCAAATGTTTGCTCACTTTCTGGTAACATTTTAGCTCTTGATTTTTTTTCTGTTTTGCACAGCCTTAGCCAGCTGTTTAATGACTTTTGTCTACATAGAAGTCTTGCGCAGACTAAATAAACACACACCATAGCTTGCAAAATTTGCATCCTGCTCTTTCTCTGAGGAGTTTATTCCATTATATCTTCCCAACAAACTTAGGCTGAGAAATACCACCTGATCTGAGTTCAGACTTCGTCTGAGTTCATGATGGGCTGTGAATGTGGACCCAAGTTGAAAAATCATCTCAGAAGAAAACAATTGCAAACCACGCTCAAGGCGTTGCCAAGAAAGCCACATGGAAGTCCCCAGGAGTCAAGTTTAACTCAAAGAACTTTTATCTTGGCAGGTAACAGCTGCTACCAAGTTTGGCTGATCTTAAAGAAGCTAAGCAGGGTCTGACTGGGTTAGGGTTTGGATGGGAGTCCACTAGGAAAACTCCAGTATAGGCCAGATTGGGAAATTGGCAAAGCGTTCCAAGGAAGGCCACAGCCAACCAGTTCTGTTCTGTTGCCAAGAAAATTACGTGGACATGTCCTTGATGTCACCAGGACTTGATCTTAAGTGTCTCTTCAGTCCGAGCGCTTGACCGCTCTGGCCAAGCCTGTAGCTCTGCTCCCTTCGTTTTACCAGCCTTTCTTCCTCTCGCCCAGCGGCCCTCTTCTTCTCCCCTCCCTGCGACTTCGTGGTTGGCCGTCTCCCCTTGCCACGCGCCCTGGAGGGCTGCCGGAAAGCAGGGGCGCCCTCTGCTCTCAGGAGAAATCAGCTTATTTTTCACTTTCTTTCAGACATTGGCCGAGTCTCTTGCTCTGGGGTTGATCTCAGGGAGAGAGGTTTGGCTCATTCGCAGCGTTAAAAGGAAGGTCAGAGCTTGGAGAAGGTGGGCAAAAGGGCCTTTTTAAAAAGCCATCGAATCTTTTGATGGAGGAAAGGAAGGGGCACAAGAGAGGTTCGTAAATGAGCCCTGGCGTGGAGCCACGCGACTCATAGAAGATGGCTTAGCAGGGAAAAGTGCCAGAAGCCAGAATGGTGGGGCAGGGATTTTGGCTAAACGTGAGGAGGTGCTTCCTAGTGGCGAGAGCCTTTGGACCCTGGAATCGGCTGCTTCAGGAGGTGGCCCAGGGTTCTCCTTTGCAGAGGTGTGATGCAGAAGATGGAGGACCCGGGTGCTACCATAAGCAGCGGGTCATACGGATTTAGGGATTCCGTGTAGCCCCTGTTTCATGCAGGAGCCTGAGGCAGCCTAGAGAGCGCTCCTTGGACTTTCCACCACAAAAACCACCCTGTAAGGGAGGCTATGCTGAAAGAGAGAGCAATTGGCCCAGTTCTGGGGCTGAAGGGGAATCGGGACCCAGCCCCTTCCCCACGCCCCTGCCAGCTCCAGAGTCACCAGGGAGCTTCCATGTCTGGGGGGGACTTGAACCAGCCTTTCCCCACTTGAGGGACTGGCCCAAGGTGGCCAGGGAGGTCCTGTGTCTAACAAGACTTGAACCTAGGTCTCCCTTCTCCTAGTCTACCCTTCTACCCACCCCAGCCTGGCTCTGGGGGCGAGAGGGAGGGACTGGCCCCAAGTCCCTCACGGAGGCTTCCAGGTCCGAAGGGGACTTCAACCTGGCTCAGCCCATTCCTAGCCTAGCATCTGGACCACGGTGGCTGTCAGATGAGATGGCCTCCATGACCCTGTGACAGCCCAAAAGACCATGCCTCATTTTTCCAAACTGACTGCCTTAAAGGGAGGTAAGTCAAACTGACAAAAATTAGCATTTTTCCTGGTGCAGATACTCTGTACTGTGCTTGTCTGAAGCATTAGGCAATCCAGATTAGGCAAAAGAGCAAGGCTGGTTTTCCAGAAAGTCAGTGAGCAGGATCTCGGTCCAAGTCCACTTTTAGTCATGGAAACTCATTGGCTGGGTGATGCTACGGCTTGATTTGATTTCTGCATTCATTCGTCTTCTGTCTTTGCACAGTTCACTGAACTGCTAACCAAATGGGCTGAGATTATACAACATGGTAGGCCACTGAAAAACTAACCAATATTCATACTAACCAACCTTAGCATATTGCGTGAATGTGGCTGGCGAATCTTTCACTGACTTGGTTAAGCATGTACAGGTAGTCCTCGTTTAGTACCACAATTGGGACCAGCAACTTGGTCATTAAGCAAAGTGGTTGCTAAGTGAAACTGCAACTGTGCTTATGATCTGACTTCAACTTTCCTTTGCTTTACAGACCTGTGAAGATAATAAATGTGAGGGTTGGTCGTAAAGTTACTTTTTCATCACTGTTGTAACCGTGGTCACTAAACAAGGCAGTCGCTAAACAAGGACTACCTGCAGTGCAAACATTGAATTATTTGGGGTCAGCTCCGTTCAGCTATCAGGTCGTGGTTATGAATATAAAATGAAAGGCGAAACGTTATCACCTTGAGCTCCTGGGTGCAAGTGGCCGCCTGCCCCAGAAGGCCAGCATTCCCCTTTCACCTCTGGTGGACTTCCCTTCTCCACCCTCCTTGTGTCTTGCAGTGGCTCATCATGACTTGGAGAACACCCTGAACTGCAGCTTCATCGAACCTCCCTCCGTGGTAGACCAGCCGTCGCCCTCCTGGTCGTCCAGGGGCTCCTTCTCTTCCTTCGATACCACAGACGAAGGACCCGTCTACTGCGTGCCCCACGAAGGTCAGTGGTACCCCCGGTGCAAACCAGGCCTCCGATCAAGCAAGGCTTCCCATGAAAGAGCTCAGCTCAGGTCACTAGAAGTGAAAACCTATCCGTAGTCGCAGTAGCAGGGGTTAGGCCCAGAATGATATAATTCCACTGACTTGATATTAGGAAAATTTGGGATAACAAAAATGCTGCAACCCAGCACAGACACAGACGCACACACACAAAAATAAGCTGGGTGCTGGGGACCCAGTGCCAAGGCTGGGCCACTGCTGCCTGAAAGCAATCATGCGTATCTTTAAAAAAAAAGGCTCATAAGGAAGAACAGGGAGACAGGAACAAGGCACACCCGGGGCCCCTCAACTCTGGCAAGGGTCGTGCGGATCAGACCAGCAATGCATTCCTCATGTTGGGACAGGGGAGGGGCATTGCTCCTTCACTGCTGTGGTTTCCCCCAAGGGAAGCTGGGAGCTAAAATCCCCAGCTCACAAGAGCCCTCTTGCACAATTAGTCTCTTAGAGAACAGGAGGGCTGCTAAGCGCCGTGAATTCCAGATTTCGAAGTGGCAAAGTTTCCCTCTAACATCACATTGCAAAGGGCCGGTTGGAGATTCCCCCAAAACACGTTTCTTGAATAGCGTATTACTTTCTTAAGAAACTAGGGATAAAAGCAACATCAAAGCACCACCAGCTTGTCTTGTACAGTACTACAAGTATGCAAAACTTTCTTGTATGCCTGATGATATTACGGGTGCCTTTATTGCGTCTCACTTTGGCTGCTGAAGCCTCTCCCAAAGGATCTTCCCTTTAGCACAAACTCTGCCCTCTTCAAGTTTTCCTTTGCAAAACTGAGGACTAGAATGCTGATATGAAAGCTGGAGTTCCTTGGAATTAGATGGGTGTGTCCACGGTCGCAGCAAAGCTGGTTGGCGTTTCCATCCTGCAGTCGGATGGTAGGCGTGTGGTCAATGTTTGTCGCAGCACTTGAGCTCCTAATTTCTCCTCTCCTGTTATTTTGGCAACCATTCCAGAGCAGAGGAATTTGGCTAAGTCCCAGCTCCACCGCAACCCTTTTGTAGCAAATAACAGGGCCTTCACGAAATAGCCCTGTAATGCCTAAAGAATTCTTAGGCCACACATGCCTGACTTTAAAAGAAAAAGCAACAGCATAATTATGATGCAGAGATGTTCCCACCAGTGGAAATTAACTCCTGCAGTCAACGGAGGCTCGCTTCGCACAAGATTAAAGGTTTGTGGCTGTAACGGAGCCACGCATGAACAGGAAATGGGGTCCCCTCTCTGTGGGAACAAGGGACCTCCACAAACTTTCCCTCCCCAACCCTGCTTCCCCCACCCCACAAGTCTATGCTGATCCTAGCTTGTGGTCGAAGCTCCTAAACCCAGGGGCATCTTCTCTTCCCTGGCTTCCAGCCGGCCTTCGGAAGACAAAGACCACACAGAGAACGCCCCCCCCCCGCCCTTCAAGCCCACTGATTGCCCTTCAGGTCCTGGCGTGACAGTCACCCTCTCCTTGGCTTTGACTCCTCCTGGGTTCCAGCCTCGTGAAATGGAGCGTCCCCAGTCACACCACTGAATATGCTAACCCTGATTGATTTGTGGTTGGTTGGTCTTCCATGCCTTAAGATGTTGTGTGATGCTGGAATGTTTGGTTAACTTTAAAAAAACCCTATTGTGTCATTCCAAGTAGTGAGCTAGTGCAAGAATGGAGTTAACTCTATTGGGCAAGTATGCATTATGTCCATGGGTGAAGAAACTACAACAAACCTCTAGCAATACTTTTGGTACAAAAGCCATGCGTATTTCTCAACAAGTATTACTTCCAAAACAACATAGTTTAGAAGCCTCCATTTTGGCACCAGAGTTGGGAGAGGGGTTGTGCCGATAACCCTTGCCAAGAGCGCTCTTTTGGGAATTGTGTAGCTGTCTCAGCTCTATATTGAAACAAAATATTTGCTCATCTTGATTTTTGGGAGGAAAAAACCTAAAAGTATTCTCAGCGTATGCAGTTTCACATCGTGAGCTTAGTTCAGTGTGTTTAATTTTTATCTCAGACTTTTGCATGCTGCTTCCCTTTTTAAAAAACCCTTGCACCATCAAACTACAAGAATAAAAGGAGTTGGTTTTGGCTTCCTTGATGCACAACATATTGACGTGGAAAGAGCATCCTTTTGTTGAAGGAAAGGATAATACTGTAAGCAAGCCCTTGTGAAATCAGGTGAAGCAGCAGTCTGCAGCCTTTTTGGGTTGGCGGATACACTGGAATTTGGAGACCGTTTGCGGAAGGTCAGAAAAGTCAGGAGCCTGGTCCTGACACCCGCAGAAAGGGGCAGAGCTCTGGTAGCACAGTCCAAGTGCCCATTTTCTTGACTTCTTTGACCCCCCCCCCTCCCGGGACACCCCTGCCCCCAGGGCCTTCACCTTGCTAAAGTGAACGAAGCAGGCCTGCTCATGCAGTTTTTAATGCTGCCTGGGCCACAAGTATCAGCTTCATCCTGAACTGCGTGCAAATCATTTGAACATTAGTCATATGTAACAGCTAAAAACGAATCTCGCTCTCTTTCCCCATTCAGCTTTAAAATGAAATAAAATGGCAGTGCGGGCACAAACTGTATTCTGTGCCGTGAGTACTTGTGGGACCCCAGTCCCTCCTCTTGTGTCCTTCGCTCTGCCATTGCTCGCTGGGGAGACTTTCGGATCTGGCGCTTCACGGTGTCCCTTTGAAGGGAGCCGAGGTGCTCAGGGAGGCTAATCAAGGACTCTGCTCCTTGGCGCGCACAGCCTTCGGACGAGGGGTCTCTTGTGATGCCTCTTGAGAAGGCTGGGCTGGCACTTGGCGTGGAGGGGCAGCGAGGCCCACCCTCCCTCAGAGTGTCGGGGGAGCCAGTGGACTCGGTCGCAGCGCCCCTCTGCCCCCTAACCTGCCTCCCTTCCCTCCGCAGAGAGCGTGAGCGAGAGCAAGGACCGCGTCTCCGCCCCGTGCAGCACCTTGGAGAAGACACCGCGGCCCGTCCACGAGGCGGCGGCGGCAGCGGAGGAGGAGGCCGGCGAGTACACCGTCCTGAAGGAGGCCCCCCTGGTCCCGGCGGACAGCAGCGAGACCCCGCTGCTCAAGTCCTCGGACAGCGAGCGCTCCTCCTGCGGCTCCGGGTCGGCCAGCGGGGCGCTCTACGCCCGCATCGCGCGCCTCTCCAAGCAGTCCAGAGAGGAGGACGACGCCC